GATTTCCCACCAAATATCCACAGCTATCTAGATCGTCATGAGAATTGCAATGATTTCTTTCAAATAACTGGGCTACAGTAACTGGCATTTAACACGAGTCATTCATGCTAGTAGTAATAGCAAGACCCCCCCACCCCCACCCACCCACCCACCCACTCATAACCCCCAAAACTTGACTGAACCTAATTACCGTCTATAGTTCCAGTGACATTGAAAGAGTTTGATATAGTGAAATCTCCTGTAAATGTCTTTGAACCTGAAACTGTCACTAATTGGCCAGTGTTATTCAACATCCAAGCATCATCGTCAATCTCTTCCCATTCAAGGTCATTTATTAATCCATCTACATGTATATCATCTCTACTTTTTACATCACTGATGAAAGTCTTCTTTCCACCAATAGTTTCTGCGACTCCTTGCACGACTAAATCGTGTAAATTAATCCCATGAACTGAGTGTTCACCTTTGGTGTCCAGATTCCCCTGAAACTAAATGTCAAACGTTACAGAACATGGCTTTTCTATAAATTACACAAGGTGATTCATACACGTTTTATGCATGCATGTACATGTGTACAACTACTATATATACTCCATTAGAACATGTGCTTACAAAAATTACATTTCAATAATTCTGCATACAAAGCAATGCTGGTTTTATTGGAGATAAAATAGAAAGTCCACATGTGCAGTACAAAGGACATAAAATTACATTATGAGCACACTACCTTAAGGGTGAAAAAAAAATATGTCACTAGATGGGAAGGTCATCTCGAAAAAAAACCTCTAGTAACCGCACCCATATTAAGCCCAGAAAGAACCCAAACCAAGCTGCCAGCCAATATAGCTCCACTTTATAGTCCAATTGAGAACAGAATTTTTTTTACCCACAAAAACAATCTCAAAGAACCACTCAAGGAACATTTGTAGCACGTATGAAACCCATACAGCCGACAGTTTAAGAAAAGTATAAAATGTGAAGTTGAATGCCGTTTTGTTCGGCAATGATGGAAATCAGTAACGTAAATAGCTCAGCTCGACAGCAGAGCTACATTGCAAGAACCACGTTTCATTGCATTATGTCATCCTAACAATTTATAACTCTTCTTTCCACTCAAATACAATCAAAGCAAGCACAAAATAAAAATGAACCAGTCTGAACACAATACATTACAACAACATGTATGGCATTCTGCCATTGAACACGACAAGATTTGACTATTGATACTTACCACAGCATCTCCTTCAAAAGTTATTGTTGAGCTTGTTTCGATCATTTCATCATGTATTCTTACACACGATTTAGTGAGGTCATAGACATCTATTCCATTTATGCGACCATATACCTCCAAACTACTTTCAATGGTGATATTTGAACCAAATACCTTCTCCCCTGTTTAAGAAAAACAAACATAATGCCAAAGCATATAAAATATAGAAGATACATCTTTGAAATACAACAGATGAAGACTGCCTTATTAATTATATTGTAATGAAATTATCCTTTCGTTTCAGACTGAATAAAACACAAGTGCAGCTAGTGATGAATAAGTGAATAGCATTTTACTCCAACAAAACAACAACAACAAAAAAAAAAAAAAAAAAAAAAAAAAAAATCAAATCAATACTGAAAGAAAGTGCTACTACAACAAAGTTAGTACTTTGTAACACTTTCTGCTGTTGTGTAAAATATAGAAAAAAAAAAGGAATTTTCAATGGATTTTATTTTCATTGACTAATCCTTCAATACAAATTAAGAAATGCACAGTAATAAATCACCTTGATTATATTTGAAAACCCAGAGCGAACAAGCAAAGATGGATTTACCTGGTTTTACACACATGCATGTGGTGTAGTCATGAATTTGGCTTACACATGTATTAACAAGCAGCCTGTCTGAGATAGCTCGGCTGTTAGCAATGCACATTTCAATTAAACAGAAGATATCATTAGAAAATGAACAATATGTAAAGTATCAATTTAAAGCAATGGGACTTGCCGTTTTTTCAACAAGAATTCAAAAATATCACTTTTTACCAAAAGTGACAAAAATATTCACCTAAATTAGAGAAGATATCATGAAATGAACAAATCTGAGAGAGTTCTACCCAAGGTACATACACACCAAGTATCAAAAGCATTCAGGAAATCTTACATACCAGTGATATCTTGGTTACCATTCAACTTCACAGCATCAGAGTCCATCATGCTTATATCAACACCATCAACTGTCAATTTGTTAGCTATATTTAAATCGTTACCAGCTACTATGTTGTCCATAAATGTCCGAGAAAATTGCACGGTCTGAATCCCAGTGGTTTTCAACAAGTCCAAATTATTTCCACCTTCTAAGAAAAGCACAGAAAAAGTTTTGTTTTTGGGTGCATGAACAGCCTTTGATATGGAACAGTAAAATAGCATACAATATCTGTTAATTAACATAGAATGTTGTTATCTATTGTTATAATAAATTAGCTCCGTTATCCTTTGGGATATAAAAAAGTTGGGAATCCCCTACTATAATGACTTGGGGAGAGCCTTGATGGAAAATCTCATTGTACATGGAGTGCCAACATCCATATCCTCAATAAAGTTGATGATGCAGTACACACAGCGCACCGTACATGGCTAACATGAAGCAGTCTAGATCATAGTGTTCCGACTGGTCACATGGTATCAATGCACCTTTCATGTAGCTACATGTAGGACCTACATATAGATTAAGTGCCCATGCCCTTGGTAAACTAATAAAACTGCATCTTAATTGAACTGAAATCATTACACGTGTATAATGAATATTTATTTAAAATATCCTTAATACAGAAAACTTACCTAAATTACTGGCTATACCATCAATGCTTGAGCGTGAATCCAAGGTGGAGATAATTGCATCCTTCGTAAACGTTACATTTCCATTTAAAGTGGCCGACTGGCTCACTTGCAATACATCATCAGGAATGTCAATACCATTTATTGTACCATGAACATCAAGATTATTGGTTATATTTAGATTCGTAAATGTGTAGTTAGCTGTTAAAGATGTAAACATAGCTGGTCAATTGTCAGGTCAAATGCATGACCTCAAACAAAAGGAGGTACATCCTGGTACTTTCATGGATGCAAATTTCAAATTTTATTGTACTTAAGAATGCAAAAAAAAAATGATACAAGCTATTATATGAGTACACAACTTTGATATCCACCATGGCGATTTAGTATGAAAATCCCTGCAAGTTCTATGCACACAGCAATAGCATAAAGTTATCAATATTACAAAATGCAATGAATTGCTTTGAAAAATTCAATTGTGAAAACAAACAATATTGGCATATGCAAAATTCTTTAACACTTAGTTAAATTTTGTCTGGAAATTTTGATATCGTAATTTGCACAAATGAAATAGCGTCCTCATCATACCAGTTGCATAACCTCGTGCAGATTCTTGTTCAGATGAAATATGCAAGAAATATCTTACCAGGTATCTGCTGATAGACAGTTTTCTTCAGAATCTCATTGAATAAAACTTCAACATCTACATCATCCAGTGTATGATTCTTTGTAACAGTCAAACTACTGTTAATATTGACCATTTTATGGAATCTATGAACGGCTAGATTGGAAAAATATTATTCAATAATATATCAAACAAGTTTAGTTTACTTAAATGCTATCTACGTTATGATCTTAACTCCACGTCTGTAGTAAATGAATACTACTAGTAGTCAATTTTTTTTTTAACACAACCAAAAATCTTGTATGTGCTTACTGCAGAATCGATTAACAGTCTTGCATGTGTTGTATTACCGCGTTTTATACGATGGGGACCACGCATCTATATGCGCATGCCTCATTTTGTCCATCAACTGGTTGGTGCCTTGCTGTCATGCAAAATTACAAAGTGGCCAAAAACTGTATCTCACCCGTGATATTGTAGTCGCCATCAGTATGGACTGAATTGTCACGAAGCTCATCAAGTTTAACACCGTCTACCTCTCCGTAACTTTCAATGTTGTTGAATTGCACATCGGGAAATGTCAGGTTACCCGTGACTACCTGAACATCTCCACGGCCACTAGTTAACAGCATACTGGTAGAATTAAGGTATATGCCATCCACAGTACCAAACACCTCAGCATGACCTGCAATATACAAACACTAATCAGTATACCATATTCATTTTATTAGAAGCACATGCTTTTAAAGTTTTATGTCATTTACCTATAAGGCCATGTAGAGAAACTGGTGCATGTACTCTGAATACATGATGCATCTAGTAGTACATGTAGTTTTCAATAGACAGTAATTAAATACCCAATGCATCTAAGTCTAATATCTATTACAATTAATTTAACATGCATTTTCAAGTCGCATTAACTCGCCTAACACATGGCCCTTACCAAAATTCATTAGACAAAATGAATACTTTGTGTGCAAAAAGTATACAAATTCTGAATAAATTTGTACATTTTATGTATGATTTTTGTATACAAGAAGTACCCTATATTTGGAACAGATTTGTATGCAAATACTATGCAAAT